GAATCGCGAAACCTCGTTCGTTTCTTCCTTAAAAAGTCGAATCGCTCGTGGACGATCGCGCCGAGCTAAGGAGAAGCCGAATCGACGACGTTCCGCGACCACCGTCCTGTCGCGCGATTTCGGCTCGCGACTCAACCTTGGATTATGATCCCCGACGATAGCGGCCGATGGAAATGGCGTTAGGTAGATGGGTAGGCACCGAGGATAGGTAGGCATTATGGTGGTCGTTGGGAGGCGTCGCCGAACCGAACGCTGAATCACCCAGCGAGAGTTTTCCTGTCAGCGGCAGGACGGGCACCGCCATCCGACGAAGCCCCGTGGAATTGCCTCGCACGGCCTCGAAATGAATGCGCGAACGCCCATTAGGGGAATAAATCAGGCCAATGTTATCCGCAGGATCGCATAATCGATCTCGCGCGCTCGACTAATCCGGGCCTAATCGTTTCACGGCGCTGCCGCGACCAGAAAACTTCCTCTCGAGGCTAGGTAGGTAGCGGCGTGGGAGGGGATCGTTGGAAGACAGATAGGAGGACTTTCCCGTGACCGCGATAAAGATGCGCCCAATGCATCTCGCGTTAGTTCAGCGCGTTTCGGCCAAGTCGCGATAAACCATCGACTACTTGACAATCAGGGTTCCCGAGTACTCGGATATCTGATTATCAGTTCCGATCCGACCATTCAAATCTGCACTAGTTCAGACCAGAGTCGAGATGCGGATCCAGAAGCGCTTTTTTCCCCGCAATGTCGATCGACTGTTTTGTAATTTCGACTTCGACCTCGTTGCTTCGATTCGCAGTGAACGGCTGTCATTGCGGAGGTTACGCGTCTTGACAGTTCGTAAATTAAAAGGGTTAACCTTCTCTCACGTAAGATTGCTTGAGAGGGGGTCTAAGTTACCGCGATTGTCTCTATTCGGTCGCCACTTCGCCACGAATTTAGATCCGGATTTGGATTTGAAGAATCACGTGTATCCACTGTCGAAACAATTGAGCATCCGGATAGTATCGGAAGCTCTGTCGGCTACTTTTCGCTTCGCGAAAAGATCTTTCTCACGTGGCGCATCATGAGTTGTCGCCGGCTCTCGACGGTCGCGTTAAATACACATCTCGCTTTAATCAGGATCGATCTTTCTTGCCGGACTTCCCGTGTCCTGGCTTAGCCAGAGAGGGAGGGAGGGAGGGGTGAATTGTTGGGTGCGCGCCCGGTCGCGAAAATGTTTGGTTAGCATTTGGCTTATTGGCCGGCGAATGTTCGTGCGCTGTTAGGCATGTATGGATGGCCCCCAGGTTATAATAAAGCTAATTCTGCGGAGCTCTCGAGGCAGCTCGTGCCGCAACATGTTTTGCCTCTCGTTCTACCACGCCCGGCCGTCCCCCGCTTGCCCTTCGCCGTCTCGCCGATATATCCGCCCCGGTGCGCCCTTCGGACACCCTATCTCTCTCCTACGGTCTCTCTCTCTCTCTCATATCGCGTCTCACTCTTCCGTAACGCGAGAGCCGCTTTCTCCGCTAGAGCAACCGAATATATTTATACGCCCCCTCGGAGAGCAAGCGCGCACGTCCGCTTATTAAAACGTTTCCACCCTGAAGAGGGCGAACGCGCCGCGTTCGCTATCCGCTTTACACCGCGTATTCCTTTTATTGTTCGAGATGTGAGAAGGAGTGAGCGAATGTAAAGAGAAAGAGAGACGACGGCGGAGGGAACATGAGGGCGCGAGAGCGAGCACGTGCATGCCCGCTGAGTTGAGTACCTGCCGCTGGCCACATTCGCGGAATTAGACGCGCGAATGTGCACGGCTTAACTGCGGGAGAGCGTGTTTTTGAGTCGGCGCTGATGCGCCGCGAAGAGCGATAACAATGGGGGATGTGCGATGGGGTGGGCCGGGGCTCGTTACCGTGGCTGCTGATGGCCCCTTTGTATCCATTTCTATGATATTCGGCTCGGCGCTCGTGCTAGGATCACGTCCTAAGTGATTATGCGGCTTGTACGCGCCGCGTCGTTAGCTTTTTATCCGATTACGAATGTGATGTATGAGTGTCCATGTGTCCGCGTACTTATGCCGCTATCGGGGTACGAAACATTTCGTCTCGCAGCCATTCGGATTCTATTGTAAGAGTACATTCTGTACCTAATGTTGATATCGCGAGCTTGTTAATCCCTCGTTTTCTTCTTATTATTCGGGCAACTGTCAAATACGGGAATGAATTTCACTTGAAAAGTCGGATAACGATTTCAATCGTTGAATCTTGTAATATTTTTCCAGTCGAGAAATAACGTGTGAGAAAAAGGGCAATAACAAATCGCCGATTCATCGTGATCTCTCTCTCTCTCTCTCTTTCTCGCTCGCGAATCGCGCTCTTATCGGGGTCTCGCGATGTCTCGTGTCTCTGATAGAGATATTAGAGGACGGATAAGGAGGTGAATTAAATCTCGATGCTGACGCGCGCGCTGGGGATCGATTGAACGGTTCGGGCGAACGACTTCAACAGGCCTGTTGCGTTAATTAATTTCCGCTGATCTCAATTAAAATATTAATTACGGCGAAACAATGACTCGGCGATAGGGAAGAAGATCAGGCGAGGGCATGGCAGGCGAGGCGAGGCCAGACGAACACGCGCTCCTCGTCCGTCGTTCTCCGCTCCGCCGTTACCATCGCGTTCATCGTTCACGATGGAGCCGGAGGAACCGGCAACCATTGCGATGCTATTACGATTACCCGGGTCTTATAAGCTTATCTGATAGCAACGCCATTATGGGCCACGGCACTGTGACTGCAGCAGTCGCTGACTGGTCCGTTTGTCTGATCGTTCGCGGAGACCTCGCGCCAAGAGAGAGCACGAGACAGCATTTGCATATCTTCGGGCCGAGATACGAGCGAACAAGTGTCCCCTGCTCTCCCGACGCGCCGGCGGATCTCATCGAAGATCGCTCGATCGCGCGAGATCGCTTAAAAATCAATCAGCGACTCGCGTTCGGCCGGCCGTGATCGTCACGAGCGAAATTGAAGGCACCGTCTCTGCCCTCCCTGCCGTCTGGCCGGCGAGGTTCCTCCTGGAAATCTCCTCGGCAAAATGTCGTCGAAAACTCGCCGGGTCCCCGTCGCCTGCATAATTTCGCGACGATCTGCATATTAATCTTGAAACATATGGGGGAAGAGTTTTCGAGAATTGCGCGATTACGTATTCCTATATACTTCGCTGATAGCCGAAGATCCTTATGTATCCTTACCAGGTGCCGCCATGTGCTTTCGAGCGGGAGCCGGGGAAAAGTGCGTTTCACCGGGGCTCCGCGTTCCGACTGTTAATGAGCGAAAATGGTCGCGCGTGAAACGATCGAATTAAAGATTAATTCAACCGCCGCGTCCGTTTACCCACCGCCGTCGAAGCAACGATAACGTCCTTTTCTCGTGAGCACGATTGTTGCACCGCCGCGGTTCGCAATCACGATGCGCGCACACATATCTAATGCGCACACGTGTAACAGAGTCTGTCCTATCGGCGTGCATCTGGGCATTCGCACGCGTACAGACGTGTTCGCGAGACAGAGAGAGAGAGAGAGCACACGTAGCACACGAAAGCTGGGAACGCACCTCGATGCACCACCTGACGCGACGGGGGGTCAGTGACTCTCACTTCGAGTCTGATTCCCGCGGGAGAAGGACGGAATTTCCGGGATCGAGGAGGAACTTTTCGCAACGCGGCTGACATGGCCGTCGCGCTTTTGACAGATCGGGGGGGGGGGGATTTGGATTAACGCTGGAATGCGTCGTGGCACGCTCGTTTCGCCTGGCTATCGACGCGCGTTCGTCCACCGAATCATGATTTCACTTAAGGACACGCGCGATGTTGTCGATGGATAAAGATATATCGTGGCCGGCTAATGATGACTCAGGCAAAGTGCAATGCGCATCTCGGCGCGCGAGCGAGCGAGCGAGCGAGCGCGCGCGCGCAGGGCCCTGTGGAAGTAATTTATGAAGAGTCACGATCGATTCGGGGTCGAGTGTCGATATGAGCACCTCGAACAACCGACGTGGCCGTGACGAGTGAAAATACAAACAGTTTAACAGGGATGAGTAGTCGTTTAGCGTTCCTGGGATCAGGAGAGCCCCCTCCTCCGCCGCTCTTCCTCCTTTCCGCCTCACCTCCTTCGCGTCGCGTCATCCTACCGTAGCGCACGGTGTGTATATCGCCGTTAAGTATAACGTGGAGAACGTCGCAACGGTCGATCGGCGCCGTATACCAGCGCGATCAAACGGGCCAGCTTCTCGTTAATGCGTTATTCACGGATTCGGATTTCGTGGATGTATGTCATCGTGAACCGAGAAGCGCAGGGATCTCCGAACCACGTATCGATGTACACGGATTGTATAATTTTACGTGGCGAGGGGATTTTATCGAATTTAAGGATACGGAATAAGGATTTTATCCGTCAAGTACGTTTCTTTCTATCTATCTACTTATCTCCCTATCTTTCCCTCTGCTCCGTCACTCCGCTCGCCCGATAATCGCGATCAACGATCGTTCGATTAGCCGCGCGTCGGGGATGGCAGTTTCCGAAATGGGACGTCGGGTTCTTGAGCGGCGGGATGGTCGACAGGGATTGCGTAAGTGCGTGCGGCCAGCCTCCCAAGGCCCTGCGCCGGAGAATCAATTATTGGATCCGTATATCAATCTGATGGCCGAAGCGCGTCCCGCGCTCGTGGTCTCCCGCTGCGCTCACGCATTTTCCTCCCTCTCGACCCTCCCCGCCGCATGCATCGTGCTCGCGATCGTGCACACGCGGTTATACCGCGAGCGAGAGAGAGAGAGAGAGAAGGAGCGTGCGCTCCGGAGCACGATGCACCGTAGCCGATGCCATATACAGCGCGGCGCAGCGTAGACCGGTTTTCGCCGCGCGAGGCGACCGCGTAACGTAGCGCGTAATGTTGATTTTTCAACGGGCCAAACTGACCCTCGCTTTCTCGCTCGCGTCTCACTCTTTCCCTCTTCTTTTCTCCGCAGGGCGCCGACGAGGATGACAGCGCTTCCGTTGCCTCGGTAAGTTCATCACCCACCGCAGATCGCGATTATTGCGCGCGCCAATCCGAGAGCGACGCCATACACGGACGTAATCCCGCGGACTCGGACTCTCCTGATAAATGCGCGCGATCGCGGCCGGGGATCTTAATTAAAATTCGTCCGCTCGCTCGATCGAACGACTCGATCTTCCGCGTGTCGACCGAGCCGATCGATCGGCCGATCCCCGGCCGCGATCTCTCACCATTAATCGCCAATAATCGCCGCGACTCCATGTTTTCCCGAAGCAACTGGACGGAAAATCGCGGGAGTGGCTGGTCAGGGCGGCGCAGGGGGACTACCAGGCGCTGGCGAAGCTCGCGACCGAGGAACCCCGTCTCACCAGGCTCAAGGTAGGACAACGATATCAATCATGATCACTTTATCGAGCGTGACAATGTTGACGAAGGTACACGGAATTTCGCGCGAAAAAAAGTCCGGTAGATACTCGTGAAACACGAGCAAAACGGCTAAACGCTGTCACTGCAATGTATAACCTGACCCATATGAGAGGTGTTGTTTTACACGGGCGAAGATACGCGACAGAAGTGATTAGAGTGAAAATTGTTGAAGAGTTCAGTCGTCATTTATTGTTTTGATGTGAATTATGTCAAAACAATGAAAGATTGAAAGAAAACATTAAAGGAATACTTACAATTAGCTATAGTTATGCAATAACCTAACCTACAAAATTATGATTTTCCAGATTTTCTTATCAATGGACAATCAATACGTCTTTCTATATAAAACAAGAAGAACCGAATTTATTGAGCGCCTTTTAGTTAAGAGCAATTTTTGTTTTCTACCGACTGTGCAATTATTTACTAGTTTCCTTTTTATTCATTTTTTTAAAGGTTAAGCTTATCAATGAACATCCAAAAAAAAGAAATAAATCATGCTTGACTTTTCGAACGATTGTGACGAGCCTCAGTGCTATTTATACTTTTTCAATCACATAACAAATGTTCATCTTGATTTTTCTCGAAAGGTACTCCATATAGGTTGGGTCTTTCTCGCATAACTATGGCTAATTGTAAGTACTCTTCCGTTACATACAAATTGCGATACGGCAGTAACATATATGATTATTTTATTAAACTTTTTCTTACGATGACGTTTGAAATTCAATTTCGAATGTCCCACAATCTACGTTGTCCGCCCTACCACGTGCTTGCGCGATTTATCATTAATCTCACGTTTCATGGTCGAAATTCTCATATCCATAAGCGAGACCGAAATTGCGACAATCTCGGGACACTATTTATAAGGAATTATAATTCACGGCACACGCCGTTCTCCTCGCGTTGCATGCTGAAATTTCCTAGACTCGGCGGGGCGGTCGTTTATCGTGGGCCTTTATCGCTCACGTACACACACACGCGCGCGCCGCCGCGCAATGGATCTCATTGAATTACGGCTACGCCACCTCGGGTGATAATGACAAAGGTAGCGGGCGGGAGGTTCGGAAATATAATTACGGTGTGGCTTACCGTAGGCCTGGGATCAGGCCGTTATTACACGCACGGCAGAACTTAACACCTGCGGCGTTGTAAATTCGCCGTTTTCGCGCGCCGCCATTGACAGGTCAATAAATCTAAGAGCCCCCGTGGCAATCAGGCGGCCGTTGTATACCCGCGCTAGCGATATGTGGAGCGGATCAGGAGTGGCGGATGGTAGTAGCGGGTTAAGGGCTATTCACACCACTTGTACCGATTATAAATCGCCGGCTGTCGAGCGTCCGGTCGAGCCGCGCGAATACAACCGAGGCTGCTCGCCCGCTCCTTCGACGGAGGCGCCGTCGCTTCCCGAGGTCGAGGTTGTCCGAGAATCTCGGCGATATCGTTAATTAACAGCGCGGTAACTCGAGCGAAGAGTCGCGGGATGACATTTCGTCATTTTGTTTGAACGATTCCGCCGTCGGAAAGTATCGTCTTTTGCTCCCCCACCCGGACGGTCTGAAGCAGCCTTAACGCGCGGGGACGAGAAAGAGGAAGGGGCGGTCGAGAGGGTGAAGTGATCAAAAGGTGGGGACGTTGCACGGTGGTTGGAGATGGTCGGCGAAAGGGGTAGAGGTGGCTCGACCGCACGGGGGCTGCGTGCTGAATTCATTCCGCTGGACAAGGTTGCCCCACACCCACCCACGTCGGCCTCATCCCTTGGGATAAATTGGCCGAACCCGCGTGTTTGCGGATAACATCGCCGCGATATACGCTCGCCTATGGCCGCCGTACGAACCGTCCGTCCGCGGTGCCCTTTTTGCCATGTGTCTCGGACTCGCGGAAATTGGCAACGAACTCTGTCGCTGTTTGTTTCCGCTGGTTTTTTGTTTTATTTCTATTTTTATTTTTCACTCGCGGCCGCGCGTGTCGGCCGGCGCGGCCTGCGCCTATAAACTAAGCGAATGGGCCAATTTACAGTATTCGCAAAGCGAGAAACAAAAACCGCGACTAACGCGGTTGCGCCGGCAATTTTTCCGAGGGGAAGATCTATGGGCCCGATTAGCATAGGAGCGAATATTCGTGCCCCGCCAGAATTGTCGTGTCGGTCGCGTAAATTTTAATCCGCTCTCTGCGCTGTATCGGATGCGCCGCGGATATAGTATATCATCGAAGACCGATTGTTCCTGGCTGCGCGGATCTCCCGACACGTAGATATATAATAATCTATTATCGATGAATATGCAACAGTTTGGGCCGAGGGAGTGTGGGGCGCATCGGAGAACGGGCGAAGTAAGCGACAGAGAGGGTGTCGATGTCGAGAGAGGGAAAGGGGGATCGTCAGTAGGCATGCCAATTACTCTCCCGGTAATTAAATCAACACCGGAGCTAATCAACGTTACCCCCGGCGCGTATCTCCATCCCCCTGCGGACGGAGCCTTTGTTGGAATAAATAAATCGGACGATCCGATATATTCGACTAACGATGCGTGTTAGCCTTGCGAGGCGAACTTGTCGAATTCGCTGGACAATTAATAACAGCCGGGCACTGTGTAATTCGTAGGGAGAAATTTCACTCGGAAACTCTCTCGACTCGCGTCTCTCTCTCTCTATGTGCAAACGCGGAAAACAAGATGACTCGAATCGATTTTTAGTCCTACGTTAAGTACAGTTTGGTTCTATGTACATTTAAGTCTTCAAAAGTTTTTCTATCGTGCACTTTCGACGCTACAAAAAGGAACTTATTTTCGTTTCCTCCACCTGAAGACTTTATGTGGAATTTAAAATATCGACTCGGGTTCTCAAGCGGAGAAAACAGAAATAACTTCCTATTTCTAGCATCAAAGGGGCACAACGGAAGACTTTTGAAAACTTAGCGTAGAATTAAATGGACTTAAATGTAGAAAATTTCGACTCAGGAATGAAGGCGTTTGAGTTCTTTTTTTTTTTTAAATTTTGTTGGAATTTCTTATACGAAATTGGGTCGAAACGAAGCGATTGAATACTTTCGACGCGTTATCCCGCATTATCGTGCACGACTCGCTGCTTCCCTTCGTTTCTCTCCTTTCGTCGCAGATGGTTTACGCGCCCGTATTGGAAATCCACCCACACGCACATACACGTGCACACGCGTGCGGTCTACGTGATTTGTACCCCGCACCATCGTATTCTGTGGGTCAGGTGTACGTCGTCGTCATCAGGGCGCCCATTATACTTTATTAACGGACGCGGCTGGCATCGCGATAGATTCGCCTCTGCGAGTCGCGCGCGTTCCTCGAAAATGCAGGGCGACTTCGTCGGTTCGACGTGGTGACGCGCGGCGACCGGCCTCCGCGTTCGATCGAAGGCATCATTATGCTTATTTCCATGAACCCGCCGCGACGATTCGACAGCTGCCACCGCCGACCGCGCGTGAATTTTTTATCATTGGCGATTTCAGCAAAGAAGAAGAGCTTGAGAACCCGAGTCGATATTTTATAAATTCTACATTCTTTTACCTCGCTCGCGTTTCTCTCTCTCGAGTCTTCTTCGAAATACCGGCTACGGTGAAATCGTCCTAGATAAACCCTCGCGTCATTCGTCGCGACGTTGTTTCACGGGAGATCGCTTGAATCCGCGATTTTCATCGTCAGAGCGAGATACCGAAAGAAAGAAGAGGAAGAAGAAAGTGACGCGCGTCACCCGCGCTCGTCTCGCTCGCTTCGAGATTAAAACGTCGATTTGAAAAAGCCAATTACCGGTAAGTTCAGCGAGATATTTGAGATATTCTGGTTCGATCGCGAGCGATGGGTATTTATAGGTGGCTGCGAATTATTAATAGAACGTCGTCAGCGGACGTTGGCCGTGGTAATTGAGTTCTGCGTCGTCCGCGATGCACGGCGATGCGCGGGGAATAAAAGCTGTTAGCGAGGATCGCCGGCAACATTATATGGCGTAGGCCGGTATTCGCGGGTTTCGCCTCCGTGTATTTATCTCGTGGTATCTGCCGGTTTAATAACGCCAGGCAATCAGGCGATATACTCACTCCCCCTCTCTCTCTCTCTCTCCTTCATTCTCTCTCACTCCCCCGGTCCGTCGTCCCATCGTGCATTCGTACGGCTGCTCACCTCCTCGGCTCGCCTCCATGCCGATAAATAATAACCATTTGTATCGGATTCTAATTACTCGCTCTAAGCAAACAAATAAACGGCAGGAGATGAGACGCGCCGTGAGAGAGGAGGTGGGCTTAATGTTATGGTGGCTGCGGGCTGATTTAAGGAGTGTGGGACCGCCCACCTCGAAGATGTATCTTCAGGTTGAGTATCGGTCCACCTGTTATGAGTGTTTCAACGCCACTGTGCGTCCTCCGCTTCTCTTTTCCTTTCTTTTCTTCTCTTACCCTTTTTCGTTGCGTCTCGCCCGCGTTGGTATGTCGATAGTGAAGAAGAAAAAATTTCGAATAACGCGCGCGAGTCCGCGGGGAGAACGTCGCGACGCGGATGGTGCAGCACGAGCGGGAAATCACGGCGGACGGAAGGACGGAGGCTTGGAAATAATTCGCGCGGTTCATACGTACTCGCTCGCTGCGAGCGAATTACCGGTGGGAGTCCCTCCATTTGCGGTCGATAAATTACGAATATCGCCCTGAGGACTGCTCCTTAAGTGGCGTATATCCTTTCGTCGGGGCAGCGAAACGTGGGAAGGAATTCGCTTTCAGGGGCGACTCCACGGCGATCCTTTCTCGCGATGACGGCCATGATCGATAAGAGGCAGCGCGAGAGGAGAAACGCGTTTTCGCTTAAAAGGTCCTCAAAAAAGGCCGACGGTAGTTCGTTACCGGTGGGCTATTAGCGGGCGTAACGCACGTCGTAGGAGCGTCGAAGGACTAAGTAAACCCAGGCTAACAAGGAGGCGTATCCACCGGCCACGAATGATCT